ATAAGATCTGACAAAAATACTGGTATCAATAAGTCATAGTATTTAAATAGCAATGTCTTTCACCTTGTATGCATATATGCATAACCCATGGACACAGACAGTGAGGTGCTAGGGCCTGGGACAGGGGGTTGGGGTGGGCTAGAGGGGGTTAATGGGGGGGAAAGGGGGTCATATGTAATACTTTCAACAATAAAGGTTGTTTTTTTAAAATAAAATAAGAAAAATAGCAATGTCTTTCAAAGTTCTAAGCATATTATGGATATCAGCTAATTAACTTACCATGGAAGAATGAACATAGATTTGTTATTACTAATTTTTCTAAAACCCCTAGTTACAATTGAGACCATTTTATTAAAAAGATGTCATACAACTGCAACATCTTCGTAATATCTTGGAAGAAATTAAGAGTCAACATTATCTCTGTAGGTATTCTTATCTATGTGCTCTTATTCTTTGCTTTTTAAGTGAGTTTAGGAAGAATTTCCCTTGAATTTACCAACTCCACTCTCAGGCACAACTGGTTCCCTAGAGGGGAATCTGTATATTACCTCCATGAAGTATGTCTGTGAGGGTGGAAGTGAGGGCGAGAGGGCAACCTGAGATAATCATTGCTAAAATGTTTTATTTGCACATGATAATTTCTCTTTTCATAAATATCAGCAAATATGCTTCGCTCCCCTCTCCCTCTCCCTCTCTCTCAGGATATCAGGCAGATAAGAGTTATCAGTAAAGGTCATCCTCAATTTCTATACAGAAATGATCTGTCTCCGGTATGTAATAAACATTTATCCATGCCTTTATTAGCTATATTGAAGCTGACAGTTCTGTTAAACCATTTTCCTTCATTTTGCTAGGTCATGACGGTTAATGCTGCTAAAAAATCTCATCACTGCTTTTGATCACTGTATTGTCTTCGCTGCATTATCAGAATTTTGTGAAGGTAAGCACTGGCTGGAATGACCTATTAAAGTTACAGCCCGTTGAGTCTCTGGGTTTTTTTCCCCCTCTTTTTTCATCACAATAAAAAGGCAAAGGAGTGCAAAGAATAAATTTTCCTTGGAGGGTTATATTTAGTTGGGTACTTGACATGTTCAGTCAACTCTCAATTATCCACAGTAAAAAGGATCCAAAGCATCAAATATAAATGAAAACCACACATAATCCCAAATCTTCATTTGGGCTGAATCTTTTACCAGTGTGTTCTCAGAATTTAAAAAGATAACTTCACATTTTACTCAGAGCCCTTTCTCATCTCCATGGACCAGTTCTCAGGAAATAGACAAATGCAAAAAAAAAAAAAAAAAAGCAAGAACCCACCCACTGACAGAACACCCACAGACAACTGAGATGTGCACCAGAAACCATGACCATTTGCATCGCTGCCTTTCCATCTTTCCTTCATCCAGGCCACTTAACCTCTCCTCTCACTCAAGGCAATTTTAAAGAAACTTTTGCTTCTGATCAATGAAAAACAATGAGATAACCATAAAAACATAATGGATTAAAGAACTTATAAAACTTGTCACAGGTCAGTTGTCAATTTCAAGGAAATACATTTCAGGTAAATGAATAAATTGTCTGAAATTTCAAACATGTTTTCGTTCAGTTAAACAAATATCTATTGAGTTCCTATTACATGCCAGGCACAATGGGATGTCTAGGGAACATAAAACTATGAATGATTCATTTTTGTTCTCAAGCAGCTCCTAAGCAAGAAATCACAAAAATGGATATTTGAAATTCACAGAGTGATATTAAAGCACAGAGAGGAAGCAGCTTCCGCAGCCAGGGAGGTCATGGAGGACTTCTAAGAAAAGATGAGGTCCAAATGGGATCTTGAAGGGCCAGCACAGTTATCCAGGTGAAGAGAAGAAGCAAGAGTGGGGGGAAGGGCATTCCAGGCAGAGGGACTAGCAAAAGCAAAGGCTCAGAGGTATATCACAATTTTATGTATTCATAGACCTCTGGGATCTCCAAGTTGTCAGAGCACAGCAACTATGACATGGGTCTGGTGCAAGAAAGGGAAGGAAAAGACAATTGATGAAACGGAAAACTGGGGCAAGTCCAAATCTTTGAGGACTGCGTAAGGAATCTAAATCAGTCATCCTCCCAACATCATTTACAAGCAATAAAGTAGGAATCAACGTGACATTTTAATTTCATTGTCTGTCTGTTCATTCTTTTAGTTATTCAACATTTTTTTAAGCATTTACTACATGCCAGGCACTGTTCTAGGTGCCAGTGGTACCGTGGTGAACAGAACCAAGACCTGAACTCAAGGTGTGATCATTCTGATGGCGGGGGAACGACAAAAAGCAGATGAAAACAGAATAACAACAAATCATGTCAGATGACAATGACATGACAGAGACTATTTAAGCTGTAGTCTCTAGAAATAAGGCTGAACAAGGCAGAGAGGAATGTGAGGTGAGGGGATGGGGGACGGTGAGCTATTTTAGAGAGTGGTCAGGACAAGGACTCTCTGAGAAGGTGAAATCTGAGCAGAATAAAAAGGAAATATATCTAAGAGATTGCTTTTGAAGCAGAGCTGATCACAGACGCAAATGTCCTGAGAGAGGAGTGTGGTTGGGAAGCTAAAGGGAAAACAAAGGGGAGCGTATGGAGCAGAGCGAGCAAGAGAGAAGGCAGGGAAGTGGATGCCGTGCAGAGATGCAGATTAGTACGTGGCTTTTCAAGCTTTTGGACAGTGATGCAAAATGATACATTTTACATAGTGACAAGTGCATGTGTCTCGGAGATAGATACTGAAATTGAGATATTAAAAACTTTCAGGAAACCATAGTATGTGCAGGGCACTCTGACATTTTCAATTCTAGTTCATTTTTTTTATTATAATCACAATCCATTATATCTTTATTCCAAACTATTAATATGTCACAACCCACAGTATGGGAAACACTGAGACAGGGTCATATAGACTAATTAAAAAAATACACACGTTCTTTTTAAGGTACCCAACACCTAACCCAGTGCAAGAGCACGGGCATCCTAATATTGTTTTTGAATGAAGGGGTGCATTAATATAATGAAAAGTTATTTATAAGGCCCAAAGTCTGAAGACTTCAAATTGGGCATTTCTATGCCAAAACCAACACTAACAACTGCAGTGATCTTCAGCTCACTGCTTGCCACCGGCTGCACCAGTGTGGACTCAGAATTTAACAGAGAAACAATGTCAGTCACTTCCCAAAGTGGACAAACTTTTCTCAGGAAGGCAATTTATTGGAGGTAAAGGGAGAGTGCTGACATTTTAAAAGTATGGGTTTTCTGGAACCCAAATATTTCATTCTGAATAAAAAAAAAATGAGATAAAATAAGTTAGGAGTAGGTCCCCAAAGAGAACCATTGTTATTTTCATGGGAATTAATTTCTCCTACCCTGATGTGGCTTCCAACAACGAATTACAAAACCATTAACTACCAGTGTGGCCACATGCCAGAATTTCTAACTAGTAGGATTTTTTGTTTTGTTCCTTAAAGAACTGCAAGTGAAGCAACCTTCCTCATGAAGTTAGCTGTGCGTGTTTTCTAACAGAACAATTGGAGTTCGGAAAATCTGATCTTTATTCTGTGGAAGAATAAACATTGCTAAAATTTACACAATGCCAGGGCAATTTTCTAAGCACTTCAATATACAATATTAATTCATTAAACCCTAACAGTAACTATATGGGAGGAGTACAATTACTATCTCTAACACAGGAAATGAGGCACACAGAGCTAAAACATTCTATACATATATAAACTTACTTAATCTTCATAACAACTTTATTTTACAAATAAGGAAACTGAGGCACAGGAAGGTATAACTTGCTCTTGGTCATGCAACTGCTAATTGGAGGAGCTGGGACAGAGTCCAGAGCAATCAGCGCCAGAGTCCATGCCGCTCTGCCTCCTTTAGCTGTAATGTCTGTGCCAAGTGAGCCTGTAAAGCTAGATGATGCTTGCCAAGTGAGACTTTAAAAAGAAAAAAGTGAGTTCCTCCTCAGGAGGAACCAGTGGCCCCGCTGTACATAGTCGCATCAGTCATTAGATGACAATTTTACTATGCTTACCACCACGGAGTTAGCATGTGTAACCTGTGGAGATTTTACCTTAAACTTTCCCCAATAAAATTCTCCAATAGAACTTTGAAGTTATCTTGAACCCGAGTTAATGCAATTTGTAATGTCTCTCTGCATATGCTTTTTGTTGTTTTTGTTTTGTTTTTTTGCTTCTCTCTTACCTTCTTTAGACCCAAGTTCGGAACATTGTCCCTTTTAAAATTAACAATGCAAATGTCACACGGAACAGTCTATGTGTCTATTTCACATCTTTCTTAAAATTGATCATTAGATACCAGTGGGTGTTTATAAAGAGATGCACACATCTAGACCCATGTTCATCTCAGCATTTGTGGTTCTTATTGAGGGAGAATTTCCCTCATGCTCACCTCATGCTATTGTTTGCCTCTCCAGCGTTGTATACACACACACATATACACATTCAAAGAAAGAGTAGGGTGTTTAACCTTGATGGTCTGTGCCTTAATCTAAACTACTTTCTTCGTTATCATGATAATGGTCATATTAATGGTTAGGAGCCATTGCCTTTGTCCACGGGGACTAAGCATATGTATACTAATAATAATTCTATTCAAATGCTCTATCACCCCAACTTGAAGATGAAGGTTGGTATTGGTAACTCTTTCACCATCTGAGTATAAATGCAAACAATAGAAGTGCACAGAATACCACCATGCCCTCTGACCTCATGCTTGAGGTCACTGGACTCCAAAACAAGAGACAAGACCACAGTGGTCATAGAAATCTCAGAGGGGTATTTCAAACCACAACCTGGTATTTCTTAATGAGCTCACATTGCTTAAACTCTGATCTGACTTGTGGTCAAAAGAAAACCATCCCTTTATTGACAGGTAAAGCCTTCAAATTCCTAAAATAAAGTCAGCAGTTGAACAAAAAAAGCAACTGAAATACTCACTTTCCCATGGTGCTGCGGTATTTTAAGCCAGGCATTTTCTGTGAGAGCTTCCCACTGTTAGAAGTGAAATGAACAAAAACAAAAGACCAAATGCTTATCAGCTCTACTAATATTTCTTGTTCTTTTTAAAAGTATGTTTTGGAGACAACCCATGATAATAAAAAAACCACATGGTGGTCAGGTCATCCTAGTTTAACAATACATTCTGTTATATTCATAACCTTGGATAAGCCCCCATTTCCCAGTCTAAATCAGTTTTACAAAGAAAGTGTATTAATTTTTTTCTTTTTCTTTCTCAGAAAAACCCTGGAGCTCATTGTAGTAACTATCCTCCAAATGTTTTTACAGTAAAAAATGTTATGATATAAAAATATAACAAAATGTTTCATAGGTTACAGATTAAGACAAATCCTCCTTATAGTACATTCTGTACTGTATGATGCTAACATAGCTGGGCTTGTGAGTCTATTCCAAATGACAATGCCCTACAGGCTTCAGGGAGGCTATCTTGGCATCGATACCAGGGAAAATACAAGAGTAGAAATTACATGAAAGAATAATCTGTCTCTTCTATTTAGCATTTTTAACATGACAGCTTCAAATCTTACCTGATATCGACCAGAAATTTAGGTAAAAAGAGTTAAATCCACTGCAAAAGAAAAAAAATAAAGCATCCAGCCACAAATACAAAACAAACAGAATGGGGTATCAGCATGTCACAACTCCAATGTACCTCGTCTCTATCGTTTAATCTCTGTTTTTTGTGAGGAGACAAGTAATCAATAAGAAGAAAAACTATTGATCTACTAACAAGTTTAATACAACCTTGAAATAAATTCTGTTCCAAACCCAGAAGCCTCCCTCAGTGTAATAAATTACTGACTTCCAGGAAAAATAAAAATCCTACCCTTAGGCCAGTGTCAGCATGATCCTTTATTTGAAGTCTTACAGGCTGTTCCTGGGAAGACCCTGATGGTTTGGCCAAAGAGAAACAAACACATCAAGTAGCTCAATACAAGCCAAGCAAAATGGAGCGTCCCAGTATGAAAATATTAAATTATTATGGCTGCAACAGGGGGTACAGTGGTTGGTGGCCCCTCCCACATATGGCCTAGCTCCTCTCTTCCCTGCCGTGAGTGAGCTTTGTCATACCTAATATCCAAATGCTTTGATAAGAATAAGATTGCTAAGATGATAGCAGGGAATTTTCAGCAGAAACTCCATTTTCCAAAGCCTGCCGTGTTCTCCCAATTGCTTTTCCTCAGAGGCTTTCAAAAAGAAAATGATTTTCTATTTAAAAATTAGAACAAAGCTCCTATTATGTGCATATGTGTATTACATTTATTGACACATGCACAGGTCTAAGTTTAGGAGTACAAATATTCATCAGTAATTCAATACTACAAATGATCAAGATAATAGTAAATGCTGCATAAGAAAGAACCCAAGGAAATTGGCTGGATAAGGATAGGGCAGGAGAATGGGCCGAAGCTTTCTGAATCTAACATTCTGTCGGTGGGGGGAGGGGTGTTCCCCCATCCAAAGGATTTCCAGTGGATGCATGATGGAGACAAGGTCTTAAATCAGTGAACGGTCGCCCATGTGGCCATTATTGATGGCACCTTGTGAGAAGAAGCAGTTTGGGCGCCTTTATTCCCTTTCAGTTTATACAACACTCCCCTCAATGGACCCAGTGAGGTGGGGTGTAATGTGGGTTTTTTTGGAAGAACACTAGTAATTGTTAACAAGTTCAATATCTGTACTTAAGGTCGATTCAGAAAACCTTGCTCTTTGTCCCAATCAAATAATGGTTTTAGGGAAATGCTACCCTTTTGCATTCTTTTCTTAGTCAACGCTATTTGGTCTACAGCCATTTTCAATACAAAATTTCAATGGCTTGAAAAAAAAGCAGCAGCTGGAGACTAAAGCCCTGCAGGTGGCTGCTGATAAAGACAGGATTGTAACTTGCTGGCATGAGCCCTCGCCGAGTATTCTGAATACAGGTCAAAAGGCTCGACAAATTCAAAAGTCAACTTTAAATTATAATCTACATGCAACTCATTCCTTACCCTTGCCACCCAAAAGGATCTCTTTTTCCTTTCCTGATTACATGGGAATGGACGGAATTTTATTCACCTTTTACCCACAGACTCATATCAGTGTATTTATCGTGTCACAGACACACATAGTTATTTCTGGGACTTTACAGCTTAAAGCAGTGGTGGCCATTTCTTTAAGAAGGAGTCACCTATTTTTTCAATTATATATATGAGAAGACTATCCTTTAAGTATACTTTTTATAACTGTTTGGGAAGAAAAACACTAAAGAAAGATAATTGCTTATTACCACTTTGCCATCATATGGTACCACCAGTGCTCTGCCTCAATTTTCCCTGCCATATTCGGCCATGTTTGCGCTATTACTCTGTGTCTGCTAGCACTTATGTTTCTCATCTTCATAGAATTAATTAGTAATTAGTAATTAGTAATTAGTAATTCTTCAGAAGAATTGTCTCTTTCACATATTTGCTCTATCTCCATATTTAAATTATAGATTTCCCAAAATCAAGAATTATGGTTTCATTTTCTGCATTTCCCCAAAGCAAGCCTCTCTCTGTTCAATATGAATATTTAGTAAAATAGTTAACAGTTATAAAGGAGAAAGGGATCCAAGAAAGGTATAGAACAACGTCTTAACAGTGGTCATTTTTGCAGAAATGTAGTCAGAAGAAGGGAGATACGTTATATAATTCTGAAGTGTTTTTTAATAATCAGTATATATATTTTTATAATAAATTCAAATAATTTTAGAGACAAAGGAAAGATCTGAAGAGACACACTAATCCTCACTCACCTTGAATGATCCAATTCAACTACACCATCAATTTATTAATCAACAGCACAAATGAGTTACAGATCTTGCTTCAATGTGAGAACTGTGGAGTATACATCTTTTAATCTGAACTTTGACTTAACCTGTGCAAATGGAGAAAAGAAATGGCATTTTTTAGAATGAAATGGAATGTCATCTTGCCATACTCCATCTACTAATACTAGCATTCATTCTTCCAACAAGTTTTTTTAACATCTACTATATGCCAGACATTTTTCTAGGCATTGAGGATACAGCAGTGAATAAAACAGGTAAAAATATTACTATCACCACTAAATTACATCCCAGTTGGGGTAAGTGGACACCAAACAGCAGCATATTTAATAGGTCACATGGTGACAAGTACTTTGGGGAAAAAATAGAGAAGAGAAATTGGGACTGCCGTGGGCAGTAAGGATGGTTGCAATGATCAGCTCTGTGACTCCCAGGTCTTGTCTTATCTTGAAATAGGGCTGCCTTCAGTCCGACTTCAGTCTCAGTAGTAGTAGGAGTCGGTGAGTTTACAGACTAGTGATACAGCTGCCAAATACATATACAAGATTGCTAACTGATTCCAATGGCAGGAACCCCTGTATCTTCTTGCTTTTGCACGGAAGCCACACAGAGAGAACCTGCTCTGCCAAACGTTGTTGTGTGTGTTTTTAAATTACAAAATAATACCACTTTTAGAAAAACGTAGAACCTCTTCTACCAAGAGCACAATGTTCATGGAATTATAGTGCATTGGGGGATCCATATGCTTCTATTTCCTCCATAACTAAGATTGGTTTTAGTGAAACAAGTTTGAACCCAACAAAGGTCAGAGTGCCTTAAATATTCTTACCATCAAATAGGAGTAGATCCAGGTTTTATAGAGCCTGAAGCTATACAATTTGAGAAGGCCCTTGTTAAGAAAAGAAATAACAAATTATAAATAAAAATTAGGCATTAACGTGAATATTTATTTAAATGATAAAAGAAATCAAGACAAATTCTATAGTTCACAAAGCTCACAAACAACACAGAATCCAGACGAATAATCCAGACTATCTTCTGGCTCTGTTCGTTTCAAGTCTGTTTCTCCTCAACTACCCAAATACACCAGTGATAAGCACAAGAGAATACAGCCTCTGGCCCTGTTTCTTTGTGTCATAATGGGGGTTAAACCAATTCAGCACTGGAAGAAGTTTCTACAGCAAGACCATCGAGCAATAATTTAACTACCCTCAGAAGTGACTGCAAACCACAAATCTATATCCTCCTTAAACCCAAATAAAATGTACCTCCTATTTAGCTTCCCTTAGCCATCTCCCAAATATCCAAGTCATTCAGATACCACTCAATTGGAGAGGAAATAAAAATTTCCCAGATGAGAAGCTGAGACTCAGTTTGACCTGAGGCAAAAGAATAGAAAACCTTAAGTCTGGAACTAAAGCTGGTTCTTTTTATTATGCTAAGTGATGTTTTCTTTTTTTAAATATTATATATGTGTATATATATGTATATACATATATATATTTCAGAGAGGAAGGAAGAGGGAGAGAGAGAGAGAAACATGAATGATGACAGAGAATCATTGATTGGCTGCCTCCTGCACGCCCCTATTGAGTTTCGAGCCTGCAACCCCGGCATGTACCCTTAACCGGAATTGAACCTGGGACCATTCAGTCCACAGGCAGACGCTGTACCCACTGAGCCAAACCAGCTAGGGCCTAAGTGATGTTTTCTTAATGAAAACTGCAAATAATTAGAAAATAAACATATAAGAGACAAAAATAAAAGAGAAGATTATCATTAATTGAAGGATCTTACTAAACACAAGCTAAAAACTAGAACTAGGTAGTCAGATTAATTTATAAACAAAGTAAAATTTTAAGTTATGGAATTGAGCTGAATAGATTCCAATCCCCATGATAATTCTTAGAAAATTCCTCTGTGTATCCCAAAATTGAAAGGGCAAAAAGAGAATTCAACTCACCTAACACCTTTCTCTACCACCAGCTCCCAACCCCAAAGCTATCTCCCACACTTTAATCCTTTAACTCCTTGAGCAGCTTTTGACAGTTTAAAACATGCTTATCATCAAGTAGGAATAGATCCAGGTTTTACAGGCCCATATCAGGCTCTTCCACACTGTGGCTTTCTACCAAGTGTCCCCTGAGAGCATCTTAGGATTCTAAAGCCATTGGTATATTCCTGAAAAGTGGTATTTTATTAAATACCTCATAGTAAGCTCTATAACAAAGAAACTAAAGCATTTTTTGGAAGACTTGGCCTGTCAAATAATATTTATTGTGGGCCTCTTACTGCTAGGTGCTGTTCTAGGCTGCAGGACTTCTGCAGGAAGCAAGACAAGCAGACTCTACCCTCAAGAAATTTACAATCTAAAGAAGAAACAGCAATAAATATTTACTTTAATAAAGAATTTTGAGTATTGATAAGTATCATAATGAAGACAGAACATTAGTGACTAAGGATGAGTAGATTGCTGTAGGGCAGAAGAAGTGGCATAGAATTGAGATCTGAATGCTAAAAAGAAAGCAGCCATGGAGAGATTTGGAAAAAAAACTTCCCAAGGAAAAAGTACAGGAAGTGCAAAGTCCCTGAGATAGAAATGAACTGAGCATGTCTTGAGCACAAGAAAAAAGTCAAGGTAGCTACAGCTTCATGGACAAGGCAGATATAGAGGAAGGTGACATCAAGAAGGTAGGCAGGACCAGAATCAACAGGGCCCAGTGTGCCCTATCTATATATAAAAAAGGCTAATATGCAAAGTGTCCCCTCAGGAGTTTGACCGGAAGACTAGGAATTCAATCGCTCGCTATGATGTCCACTGACCACCAGAGGGTGGCGCAGAACAAAGGAAGGCCCCAGGTCTAGGGACCCTACTCATGCATGAATTTTATGCACTGAACCTCTAGTGTGTTAATAAGCTTGAATTTCTTTCTTAGTAACAACAGAACTCACTGGATGCCTTTAAGCAGCAAGTGATGTGATCTTATTTCCATTTTAGAAAAATCACTGCAGCATGAGAGAAATGATGCAAGAGTAGAGAATGGGAGAGGTCTGGTCCAAAAATGTAAGTTTAAGAGACAGCATATTTTAAATTTCATTTGGAGTCATGGGACTGCCTGAGGCCAACTCAAGAGAAAGGGTCCACTGAGTAGAAGGGCTGAGTACAGATCCACAAATGTTTGGAGGTCTGAGAGAGGAGGTAGTTGGTATTTGTCTGACACCCTGGTTCTTAAGCCAATGAACCCAATAGCTCAGGTAGTATGAAGCTCTATACCTGGAGATTGCCTGTGAAGTGAGCAGAACCACACTCCCCCATCTGCCTGGAGCTGGAGCAGTGTGAGCAATGCTTTTCCAATGTTAATATTTGCACTGAGGAGACACATGGACAGGAAACACATGTTGGGTTTCTTGACCTAAGGGAGTCTGGTGATTGAGGGTGAAAGTGCTGGGGTCCAACCCCAGCAGGTCCAGGGGTCCCCAAAGGTGTGGACGGAGTCAGCGAAGAAGGAACGACACAGAGGCAGCGTTCAGTTGATCAGCAGCCTAGCCAGGATCTCTAGCCAAGTTCTGGTCAGGATCTCTGGCAAAGTTCTGGTTAGGATCTCCAGCCAGGTTCTGTGTCCATGTTCTCTTGCTAGGTTCTGTCTCTAGGTTCTGTCCAGGTTCTCCAGCCAGGTTCAGTCACCAGGTTCTAGTCAGGTTCTCTTGCCATGTTCTATCCAGGTTCTGTAGCCAGGTTCTGTCTCTAGGTTCTTCAGCCAGGTTCTCTCGCTAGGTTCTGTCTCTAGGTTCTGTGTCTAGGTTCTGTCTCTAGGTTCCTGTGGCCAGTTTCTGTCCAGGATCTTTTGCCATGTTCTCTCCAGCAAAGTTCTTCTGTCTCTAGGTTCTGTGTAGGTTCTGTGTCTAGGTTCTGTGTCCTGTTGTCTTGTTACATCTGTATTTATACCAGTTGATTCCAATCCTATCAATCTCTATTCCAAAGGTTAGGGCATTTCTTATCTCCATTCCAGGGAGTAAAGATTATGTAGCTTAAGCATGATTGTTCGTAGTTAAAGTGATTAATTACCCGCCTGGCACTTAGTTAAGGGTTTTTTTCCCTCCCTAACTTCAGGGGAAAATCTCTACCTGGGGAAACAACCTTTCTCAGAGAGGTGACCTTGGTTAAAACACATAGTGCCAAGAAAGTGAGCAAACATATTAAGAACAGTATGCCATATATGCCAGGTCCCTTGAAACAGCAAGGATGGACCGGCTCCCGGCATGAAAGGCTAGATCAGATCTTCATTTGAGGAAGATGAACTCAAATACCTCAGAGAGACAAGATGATAGAAGGTCGGAATAGGAGAGGGATAATTAAGAATGGAAGAAAAGAGGCAAGAGGAGGGAGGAGAAGGGAGTGACGGAAAAGAAAATCAGCAATAACTTAAGAAATGAGTATAGCATAAGGGCAATGTTATATCACAGGATGTACAGCAGGTAATTTGGGGTGGTATATAGATTCTTAAAAATAGTTATGGATTATGCATTTATTCTACAGTTATCTTTTGGCAATTACATTGATTGTTTTTGTTTTGCATTTCCAGGAATGAGATAAAAACAACACACAGTTATTTCAGAAAAGAATAGAAATCAGTTTAATGGAAAAAATATGCATATATCAATTTCCTAATCGCAAGAATCCTTGGGGTCCTTATCAATACAACAGGATATAACATGCCTTTCAGGGTTGTGTGATGACTAACAACAAGGTTCAACAAGCATCTAGTACAATGCCCAGGAGGCTCTCAATAATAATTAGCTAATATTATTACTGTTGATATTTTAAAGTACCTAGCATGTTACAAGTGTAACAAAAGTTATTTTACTAATGGAAACATAGAAAATCAATCAAAATGTAAAGAAAAGGCAAAACAAATCTGGAGAAATAATTATATTACAAGATTCGCAGGAAAAAAAAGAATGGGATGGTCATTAAAGACAATAAATTAAAGCAAAAACTGGAATTAGAAAATAGAGTTGATGGGGAGAAATTAGAGGGTTGAAATAAAATTGGGAGTCAGGTACCATAGAAAACAAGATGGTTTTGAGATGGACCTGAGGGATCTGTTCCCAAATCAGGTTGCTAAGCATAGAAGAAAAGCACAGGCTCTTGACCTGGGGATGACGGGCAGGCTCTGAGAGATCCTGGAAACTTCTAAAACTGTGTGGTAGAATGTTATGCATGCAAATACCAGAACAAGTATTTTTCTGAGAAGAGGGTCCGTGTATCTCATCATACTTTCTGAGATTTATGACCTCAAATTTTTAAGTGTTTGCTGACTAAGCCAGATCAATTGGTCAACAGAAAACATCTGACAGCTGTATGTCTATCCAGGCACTATCCCAAGTTTGCCATGTATTGAAATGGTCTTGTTCTTAAAGTGTATAGGGCAAGTGTTGAGCTGCACATATAATAGGTGTTAACATATAAACATTCAAATCTGTAAAGAATGTTTGTGAGTTTACTGGAGCCAAACTGTTGACAGTTGCCGGGAAGCAAAATCTCAAGGTATTGGGGTAATGCTCTGCAGAATGGTGGTGTTTTACCTTGTTTTATACATTACAATCAGAGGAGACATAAGTGGGTTACATGAAATCCATTGGTGAGAGATTAGGGACGTGGGAGAAAGCAAAACGGGGGATCTGGGATTATATAAAAAGTGAAATGATGGACACATGCACCAAAAGAAATTACAGAACAAAATAATTAAAAAGGGATTGATTCAACAAATTAATAGATACATAATTCAAACAACGATGGCTTTAAATGTTGATTTTTTAAAAATGGAGGCTCAGTAGCCACTTCTAGTCTTAAAAAAATAAAGCTAAGATGAATAACAGCAACAAAAT